TTATAAGGATTTTAATTTGGATTTTTAGGTTGGATTTGGCCATTGAATTCGAAAATTCTAAGGAAAAAAGCAACAGAAGCATTTCTGCGCTCTAGTTCTGAATAAATGATAACATTCTGCACAATCCTTATTACTCAAACTATATGAGAAGAGCATATTCATCGAAATCAAAGTCCTTTAACTTTTTGCTACTATTGTATGTACTAAACATCCTTAATTTAGCTACAAAAACAGACCTATTCTAATTTAAGTACAAACTTACACCAATTCAATTACAAAGAACAAACTTTTTGTTAAAATGAGGGCATTTATTGTTGATTTTACTTTTAGCTGTTGTAATACCTTATCAGAACTAAACTGGTTTTTTAATCAAATATTTTATCTTTTAATATTAATTTTTACATTTCTATAAAATAAAACTATGATTCAATATTATAGACTTTTCTTGATTAAATACATAATATCTGACTAATATTACGGAATATTTTACAATTTTAATAAAAACTATATATTTGTATTTTAATTTTTTTCAAACGTACATATTTATACATATCCTATCAAATAATTCTATATTAATGTGATAGCAATGCATAACAAGGATTGCTTGCTTCATGCATAGAATATGAAGGTTTTTTTAATATCTGCAGGTCTAAAACAAGTTGTGCAAAACTAGGTCTATCTCCCGGCTTTGTATTCCAACAAGAACACATAATTGTATATATATCTTGAGAAATCGTATTAGGACACGCTAGACGACATTTGTTCCGAGTTAAATAACGCAACAATTCGTTATCCTGTATAGTAGCATATGGAAAAGAACCTAAAGTTCCAATTTCCCAGAGTACAACACCAAATGACCAGACATCACTTTTAGAAGAGAAAGCATGATCACGCACAGCTTCTGGTGACATCCAACGTATTGGAAGTTTACGAATTTTGCCATCCATATTATTTATTACGTATATTCCATTTCGTGACAAACCAAAATCAGAAATCTAAATTCATAATAAATCAGTATATTCCATATACTATTTTTTAATAATTGTGATCAGAGATCACAAATAGAAATCTACTACCTTTAATGTTGGATTTGACAATGAAGTGAGGAGGATGTTTCTTGCTGCCAAATCTCTGTGTATAATTCCTTTAGCTTCCAAATATTCCATTCCTCTTGCAATATCAAGCGCAAACTTCATAAATTGTTGCTTCTCAATTACATCATATAAATTGTCATTTTTTTCAACAATATTTGCGTACCTAGATACAGCCTTTTCAAAACTGCACAAAGATATATCATCTGATTTGATTTTTCTTCTACAATGTAGATAGGCAAGCAAATCCCCACCTTCCATATATTCTAAAATTATGCATATAGGATTATTTGGTAAAGTGCAGCAACCTATAAGGCTGACTAAATGTGTATGAGAACCAGCTGCTTTCATTATTTTGATTTCTTCCATTAATTGATGCCTAGCTTCAGGTTCGTTGCATGCATCACAACATTGTGACATTTTAACAGCTATTAATGTATTCTCATTGTTGTTTAAGCTACCTAGATATACTTTACCAAA